CTAAATTAGATTTCAACATATGGTTATACCCAGGCATTTTCATGACTTGCTTCTCAAAGCAGCAGAAGGAAATAGGTAATTTCTCAATCTAATTGGAGCAGTGCCCTCAAGCCAGGAAGCCTCAAATAAAAGCTGATCAGAACACCTTTCTCCAGTGGCAGTCTTAACTGACACAAGATGTTACATGTATTTTATGAACTATTAGGCTCCTTTAAGTTTTCCCACTTGTAAATCAAATATAAATTCACTCTTTGTGGTTATTTCCTGACTAAAAATGTTGAATCACAAATGTTTCCATTTGGCTTTTTATGGATCTTACAAGTCAGTCTGGACCATTCACAAAATAATGACTTTTCTAAAGACTTTCTGATGAGGGAATGCTATAAAAGTGAGAATGCCCAAAATGAACAGGATAATGCCTGGTTCCCTGAATGGATTCCCAAAGGCCTCCTTTACTGGGGTAATGTCCTAGGGGAAGGAGTCTTACAGAAATTTCTATGTGGCTTCAACTCCCCTAAGGCCTGATCTTCTAATGGAGATAGATGTTGTTCTCTTCTCACTCATTGGTGGCACAAACATGATCTCCCAGGCCACCAGGGTATAAATCCAGATTCTACCACTTCACTCGCTGTATCTCCTTAGATGGGATAAGGAGCCTCCCTGAGTCTGCTTTTTTTCCTGAATCTGGCAGAAAGGGAAAAAAAATCAATTATATACCAAATATTGATTAAACACCGTGACATTTCAGGCACAATCCATATCCCTCATCGAAGGAAACAGACACAGTTTCCCTCCCTTTAGAAGTTCATATTAGCCCTGGCTGGTGTGGCTCAGTAGCTTGAGAATTGGCCTGAGAACCAAAAATTCATGGGTTCAATTCCCAGTCAAGGCACATGCCTGGGTTGCTGGCCAGGACCCCGCTTGGGGGCGTGTGAGAAGCAACCAATCTATGTTTCTCTCACACATCAATGTTACTCTGCCTCTCTTTCTTCCTTCCTTCCCCTCTCTCTAAAAATAAATGAATAAAGTCTTTTTTTAAAAAAAGGATCATAATAAAGAAGTAAAATATACAGCATTTAACAGAATATTACCTGTGGGCCAGGGAGGGGTATTTTAGTTAGGGAACAAGGAAGGTTTTGAAGAGAAATTGATTTGTGAGTAAAGATCTGAAGGAGGTGAAGTAACAAGTCCCATCCACATTTGGGAGAAAATCCTCAGACTGAGGGGTCAGTAAGTGCAAAGACCCCAAGGATGGACCTGATGTGTGGTAAGGAGAGTTGACCAGAGCAGCAGAGAGAAGGACAGCAAATAAGAGGAGACGAGGGGAGAGAGAGCCAATAAAGGCAGCAAGATCATCTAGGGAGAGAGCTAGCCAACAGTCCATAGGTTATATGTGGCCTGCTACCTGCTTTGTAAATAGTTTTACTGGAACCACAGCCATGACCTTTGGTTTATGTTGTCTATGTATAGATGCTTTCAAACTACAACAGCAGAGCTAAGTAATTACAACAGAGACCATTTAGCCCACAAAGCCTAAAATATGTATTATCTGGCTCTTTACAGAGAAGACTTATCAATCTCCAGCTTAAGAAAATAGGGGTTTAATTTTCTCCTTGGCAAAAAGTCTAGGGTAAGCAGACATGGTGCAGTGGTGCTATGATGTGAATGAAGATCCAGACTCCTCTTTATCTTTATGTTTCCAGCCTTATCATGATCTCAAAATGACTGCTAATGCTTCAGACATTATACATTATATCCACATTTGAGACAGAAAAGCAGGGAAAGAGGCATCTGTTCCTTCTACCAGGAAAGCAAAATCCCCCTCCTCCCCCACATTTTTCCCTATTTCTTTGCCCAGAAGTAGGTCGTATGGCCATTTTAGCTTCAAAGGAAGCTGGGAAAGCCATGAAAAGGAATGTCAAGATTGACAGGCAGTCACCTTTAACCATTTTTTTACTGTGGCCCTAGTCAAACACATTTCATATCACAGCCTAATAAGCACAACTGAAACATAAATAGTACAAACAACAGTTTCGTGAAAAACAACTTACATTCACTATGTGTGCTGTACACTGGTATTTTCTCCCAATTTTTTTAAACACTAGTCATCTACTAACTTAATTTCATGACTCACTATTGGATTGTGAGTGTTACCACAGACAGAGCACTGCGGAGTCTCCTCCATTGGCCAGAATGGCAGCAGATGGAGGTTCTTACACTGAGCACACCCAAAGCTAAACATATCAATGGATAGGACCCAAGCACCCACAGAAAACTAGAAAGAGGAACGGATAGGAAACATTCCATCCTGGGAAATAAACCCAGGAACATGCCAAAACCTAGAAAGATAATTGGATAGGAAAAAAAGCCCTCCCCTCCCATCCCTATAAGAACCTTGAAGTTGAGCAGGAGGAGATGGTCTTTGTGACATGAGTCTACAATTTACCCAGGTCACATGGGACCTGAATAAAACCTCTTTCTTTCTGCACCAGCATCTGCCTCACAAGTTTGGCTTTTGTGGTAGCAGGCAGCCGAACATCCATTTTGTTGTGTTACATGAATGCAGTATGAAAAATACAAGTGATCATGATCTGTCACTAGGGGCCTGCTTATTGCTGCTCTAAACTAATTTCTCTGCTCCTTTCCTATCCCTTTCCTTTCCTTTTCATTTTCCTTTCCTCCCTCGCTTCCTTTTCTATGAAGAAGGGAATAGATATCGTGTTGGTAACCCACAGTATCCACAACATCCACCATAAATGAACCGAAGGCCAAATACAGTTCCATTGAATACTGAAGGAAAAGGTGATCCTCTTTCTGAAGGAACTGAGGACCCTGGTGATGGACATTTGTATTCCATGTAAAATTCAGGTAATTATGCCCCCTCCTCAGAACTATTGAGAAGATTGCTTGGTATCCCTGATGTAAAGAACCTAGCACAGTGCTGACACAGCAGGCAGTCAGGACACATAGGGTCCTCAAATCCAATCCTCACTCCAGACTAGGGGACCTTGAGGGTAGCACCACTAGATAAGAGATTAATTCACTTTCAAGAGTTGGAAAACCCAAGGGAAATTGTATGTTACCATGGTCCTGTTTAATTACCTTATTTGGCATGAATAAATGCTCACAGGTTGAGGGTTATCCTGCATTTTACCCAGTTTAAAGAACAAACAAACAATTATTAGCCTCAACCTTGATCTTTGGACTGTGCAAGAGGGGAGATCTCCAACCAAAGGGAAACCCTGAGCTGGCAGAGGATGGGCCATTTTCCATGAACTCACACAAAAGTAGAGGTGAAGGATCCCTAGACTGGTCATCTTTAGCCCCTCATTTTTGCAGGTGGGGAAACTGAGGCCCAGAGAGGTTGCAACATGGCAAGTTCACATAGAAAGTATTCGGTTGGCCAAAAATTTCATTTACTTTTTGTCCATATGATTGCTCTAGTAGTGCTTACTTAGTTGCCTTCAACTTTATTGGAAACAATTTTGTTAAATTGTATTGTGACAGCTGTCATATCAGCGTGCATTTTTTAAAATTACCAAAATTGGTGAATTTTTGTGCAGCCATTTTAATGTTGAAGATGGAAGAAAATATGCAACATTTTTGACATATTATGCTTTATTATTTCAAAAAAGGTAAAAATGCAACTAAAATGCAAAAAAAAAAAAATTGTGCAGTGAGAAGGTGCTGTGACTAACTAAATGCGTCAAAAGTGGTTTTTGAAGTTTCTTGGTACTATTGTCATTTTGGTCAAATAAGTCTTTGCTGTGGGGCTGTCTTATGCATTGGAAGATGTTTAACAACGCCTCTGGTCTCTACCCACCAGAAGCCAATAGCAGGAGATAGCTGACATAATCAAAATATTCAAATCAATAATTATTGGTGAAAATGAAAATATTTTCATTTTCCCTAAAATAAAGTGTTAATAAAATAAAATAAATAAATAATATAAAATAAAACTAAATAGATTTTTTGACCAACCCAATAGATGGCAGAGCCCACTCTTTACCCCAAATCCAGCAGTCCTTACAACAATTATTAGCACAGCCTCTCTGAAGTGGGGTCCAGGCCCATAGACTTAACTGAGCCCATAGACTTAACTGAGCTGATTTTTGCCTATGTGGGCACCTGCATTTTTCTAGAGTCCATATCAGATTCTAAAGTGGCCATGTGACTCAAAAAAGATTAAGAACCATAGATTAAATTTATGTTGGAGGAGGAAATCCATTCTGGGGTCAGGACTGGGAATAGGAGCTAAAACAGAAATCGAAAATGTTTCCATTAACCCCTGCCCCTGCCCTGCCACTCACACACCCCAGAAATACTTAACCGTTCTGAGTTCCCCAAAAAGCCTGTGGTCTCTCATCCCTCTGCCTGGCACAGGCAAACAAACACTTGTGAAGCAGGCGGTGACTGGGGGTTTATCATTTCCTCTTTATTAACTGATCAGAGTTCTTAAATGCAGTGGCGCTCTGAAAGGCCACATCAACCGAAGAACCCTCCACAACCTGTGCCTCTTGAGCAAAAAAAAAAAAAACCACACAAACAAAAGAACAAAAAAAAAAAAAACCCAACTATACTCAGGGCCTTATTGATAACATCCCACCCCCGCGATGAGCACACTAGAAACAACTAGGAACTAATAAATGCCCACGCAGCGGCCTTTGTTAGAAACCCAAGGGATCAGGCTACCTCAAGGTATTCGGACCCTCCCAAGCCAATAACTCTTGGGACTGCTTCCAACGCGAGTCTCCGGGTGCCCTGCTGGTGATCCGAGGACACCCCGCACGCTCCATAGCTCCACCTTCCCGGAAGTGACTAGAGCACTGCCTAAAGCAAACCCCTCCCTGTGTGCCCAGTACGAGGACGTCTGGACAAGGTGGCGCCATTGGCCCGCGCAGGGCGAGAGGTGGGGAGGGGCGGAGCAAAGAGGGACACACCGGAGTCACCATTGGCCAGAGCGGGCCGAGGGGCGGGGAGAGACTATCACGTGCGCCGAACCCTGGCTGCCCTGGGCAGTAGGCGCCCAGGACGCAGGGTGGGAGCCGGCGAGGGTTCAGCACTGACAGTGGTCTGTGGTCTGCGCGATGTGTGGACGGTGAGTGATACGTGGGCAGGAGACTTCGGGAGCGTCCAGGTAGCACTGACACCTCCGTCCCCGAGCCCGCCCCCAGCCAAGAACCCTGGAGCCTGGGTACTGGTGCTCCTCGGTTCCCGAAAGCTGGGCCCCCTCCCTCTGCCAGCCTGGCTCACCCAGAGCCTCGGGCCCAGTGTTGAGGTGGGAGCGGGCATTGCGCCAGGCACCTCCTACAAGGGGATGGCATTTTAAGGGCTAAAACCTGAGCATGACAGGTGAGGTGACCGCAGGCTACACCTTGCCCACGTTGTCTCCCATCTTAGCCTGTATCCTAGGAGCGTTGATCTCAGAACTGAGGGGAGAGGCTCGAAGTGGCTCTGGCACAACTCTCAGGTTTCATACCTGGAAACCAAACCATCGCTATTCTTGCCTCACAGTACAGGCTAATAGTGGATTTGCCTTGTTCCCCAACCTGTGCTAAGGGGGTTAGAACAGTTTGCCTTCTACTTCGTACCGCCCTAATACTTTCACTATCCCCATTTTCAGTTGAGAAAACTGATGATGCTTGAAGACTTAGGAAATTACGTACTTTTACCCAGATGAATCTGTGGTGGAGTCAGAATTTGAACCCAGGGTTTATTGTGCCGGGTCTCACTCATTTCCCCCGCTGACTTCAGAGCTCACCCTGCTCTCCCCTATGCTCCTGACTCTCAGTCCTACACTTTCCACTCTGCGAGATGCCTCAGTATTTGTATTAATCTGGCACAGCCCTGTTTACTTATCCTGTTAGGCATGAATACCAGGCCAGTGCCTCTTAAAATACTGTAAGGGGAGCTTTAGTAACCACACTTAACAAAAGCATTAAATAAGGTCACAGCAAATAAAGTCTGGAATTATGTAATTTGAACCCAAACAGGTTAGACTCCAAAGCCATGAACTTGCCCTTGCTGAAGAGACCCTCACTGGCTACATTGCAGTTTAACTGTCTACAACACAATCAAAATTTGTTGTCTGCAGCCACGATTTTTAAAAAACAAACTGTAAATGAATAGAACTAACAGACTAATAGGTACATGAACATCTGCCTGCCTCCTACTCCCCTGTGTAATTCCTGAGCTTCTGCTGCCAACAAAATGGGAGATGCTAGGGAGAAGGAGGGGGAAGGAGGAGGCTAGAAGGAGAAGGAAGGGGAAAGAGAGAAGAGAAAATGGAACATGCTAAGCTTAGGTCAAAATACTGCTGGCTGGAAATAGTAATGGGGTGTGTTTCAGTATTTTGCCAGTATTTAAGTGTATTTTCATTAGTTCTTGTCATAATCCTGTGTTGTACTGGTGGTTCAAGACTTACAGTGAAAATGAGGTTGAGGGCACAGATTACAGTGTCAGGATGAAAGAGGCAGAGTTGTATTTTCACCATGAGGGTAGCCTGGAAGTTGAGAACAGTGAAGGTCCTCTTGGGTCAGGGTCAGCTAGGCAGTGACCCATAACAAAGAACATGAACAGAACTCGAGCATATCACAGTTCAGATCCTGTAAATGCAAAGCCTCAAAGGGGGAGACCCTAACTATGGGGTTGACCAGACAGCCCTGTGGACTGGACCTCTAGGGGTATGGGTCCAGGCTCTGAGAGTAAATTCAGTCATATGTCCTTGTTCACAGCCACTCTACCTGGGAGGACGGCCATCCTCTGAGTCAGTCCCACTTTCCCACCTCTGGAGCCTCACCACCTCTCTGGAGCCCCATTATGACCTATTACTGGAGTTTCTGTTTATTACATGTGAGGCCCATCTTACATGTCTCCTCATTCACCTTCACAGGAGTCAGTGACTCAACTAATGAGGAAACTAAGATTGAGAGAGTGAAAGGGACTTGCCTACGGTCACACAGCTAAAGACTCACAGAACAGAGCTTTAAACCCAGATACTTGTAAAGGCTGGGTGGTTATCCTATCACAGAATACATTGAAGAGAATACTTTGAAATTGTTTTAAAGTAAATTAAAATCAGATAGGAAGTGACTGCACTTCCCAAAGCTTCTGCAGTTTTGTTTTGTTTTCTTTCATTCTTGTCAAAGGGGAAATTGCAGTTTGCTCAGCCTTCCCTTCTGGCTGTCTGACGTCTTTGCCAAGGATATACTTTTGAGGGAGAGGTTTGGAACCCCCTCCCTTTGCCCTGCCTGACCTTGGGGGTTGGGGCAGAAGTGTCATAGCCCTTTAGCCTCAGAAATGGAAAGGGCTCTGGCAATACAGTCCTGGCTAAACCAAGGCCCAAGAGATGGCACAAAATGCTGCTCACACCCTAAGTTAATATTCCAATAAAACTCACACCCAGACTTCTCTCCATTAGACCCCTTGCATCCTTCTTTAGCTATGATACATTTCAGCAGTTCTTAACCTGGGATCTGAGGATCCAGGGGCACATGAGCAAGAGCTTCTTGATCCCCCTACAGTGGTATGCAAATTTAGTATGTGTGTGTTTTCCTGGGGATTGTGTGTTAAACTTTCAAAAGCCTCCAGAGGGTACCATGACCCAGAAGTTTCTAAGGTACACCATGTCTCACAGGAAACCACCCCCCGCAGCTGTATGTTTCACACAGGCCAGGCACAGTGCATGGCACAGATGGAGGCAGCTATTGGGTGCACCCTTCCAAACTGCTGTTCAGTGCACCATTCCAGCAGCTGGCACTCGAACACTTAGAGGGGCTGCACCCCTGGCGCCCGGCCTCAGTGGTCATACTGGGCATTTGTTTGGACCAAAAAGAACAGCTGAGAGGATTCCTGTTTCCACAGATGCCCTCTTCATAAGATGGTGAGCCCAGGTTTTTGTGGGTTTTGGGGGCTGGGGGGCAGGGTCCTCCAGGACCAGGGACTGTGAATGTGAGGGAAAGCAGGAGGCCTGGAAGCAGCTTTCTTGTCCCAGCCTCCTGTGCCTTGAAAGCAAGGGCAGAAACCAGAAATCCAGTTGCCTCTGGGCTGGGGCTGCCAGGAAGCTCTAAGGAAGGCCAGCCTTAAGAGAGCGGAGGGCCAGGCTCTTCAGAGGAAGGGCAACCGTATCAGGGAAGCCTAGGTTGCAGACTGGGCTCAAGAAGACCTGTCAGCGGGAGCTGAGAACTACATAAGTGGGTGGATATAGTAAAGGCAAGCAGGGCTCTGTGGGGTCAGCCCAGGGGAATGGGGGAAACAGAGATGGCTGGTGGCTCTGCAGCCACCTCTTCTGCGGTGCAGTGTCCTCCCAGGGCTTCCTAGCCATCAGTACTGGGGCAAGGGGGTATGTGGCTGAGCTACAGGGCTGTGATGGTGGCATTGGGAGGAGGAGTGAGAGCAGCAGCTTGGAAGGGGGCGGGGTCTGCAGCTACTGAGTTGCTGCCTGCCATCCACATTCTAACAGCTGGCTTTTCAGCAAAAATGTGTTGCCGAGGAGCAGTCTGTGTTCAGCCATTCCCTGTCTCAGAGGTAGCTGGTACCAGCACTGCAGCTTCTTTGCTGGCTCAGCTCCTGCCATTGCTGGTTAACAGGTGCCAGGGAGGGCGCCTTTAAGGTGCATTGTTTTCCAGGGCTCCCTGTTGGCCCTGACTGGCATTTGAGAGCTGTAGCCTCAGCTGTGGAGCAGGAGACTCAGGCTTCCCAGGAATGCCCTGCAGTGTCACTAGCACTGGCCCTCTCCCTTGCAATCTCCTACCTCCTTCTGGTGAGAGCAGACGGGTTCCCACAGGCTCTGTCTTCCTTTCTGGTGCTTCCCATGTCACTTCTGTTACATATTTGATTTTACTCATGCCAAAGAAGAAAGTAAGAATCATAATTTTTTAAAATGTTAAAACAGAGGTTACCAAGCTTTTGGGTTTCTCGGATATCCTCTGAACATTTTAATTCGGATACTGACATGTTTTCCATTTTGCCAAGTAAGGATAACAATGACCAGCTTTGTTGCCATTATTTTATAAAAGAGAGGGCATTGTAAGACTAAAAGGGGGAAGCACATAGCCTTGAAGTAAAAGGCATTCAAGTCACTCAATTTGACTTTATGAAAACTCTACTTCATTAGCTTTCTTTTTCTCCTCTGCCATTGGCCAGTAGGAATTAGGCTATAGTTGTGACCTGAAGAGCCACAGAGCTCCATGACCACAAAAGAGGAAAGATAGGTCAAGCCTAGCAGTTGTAAAGACTTCAGTACCCTCTGTCCCAAACCAAAGGCCAGAGACGATAGCGAGGACAGACTGGTACTGGCTGCCTTCAGCAGCCCCTCCATGGGGCCGGCAGAGCAACCACTGAAGTGGAAAACTAAAACAATTCACTGCCTGTTTACTGGGAACAGGTCATCAAGGCTGGCACACTCCTCAGGCCCTCCTGTGGTGAGGACAGAGCCTCCTCTAACTGAGAAGCAAGGCTAGAGGCCTGAGTCTTGTGCTCTGAGGCTGGGGGAGGGGAGCAGACTAGGACAAAGGAGGTCTGACTTCCAGAGCCCCAGGCTGGGCTTTCCCAGCTGCATCTGTCACTCTGTGGTTCCTGTGCCTGAGTGGCAGGCCAGCCCCAGCCCATTCCCCCTGCCCCAACTCCTGCTTCAACCAAGGCACTTTAATCCATTTGTATTTGGGCTTCTGCCTAGGGTTTTATTTAAGATTGTGCTTATTTATAAAAGGTTGACAAACACTTTGTTTGAGATTTTCTAAGGCCTGCCACATGTGCCCAGAGAGTGGGAGTTGAAGGGGCAGGTTCAGGGACATGCTCCAAAGGGAGGAAAATCTCCATTTGCTTCCTTGCTGGGTTGTGTGCATTCTCTCTCTCTTCTTTGAAGCTCTCATTCAAGTTATCTCTAAGACACCCCTTAGGTATATGTGCATTTGAATTTAGAACTCAACAAAACACTGAAATTATTAAAATGAGTAATAGTCCTCTCAACCTCCAGTCTTTTAAAAGGGACAGAAATGCACAGTGTACAGACTTGAAGTAGAATTCTATAAGTGACCCAGATCTCAGGACCAGAACTCAAGGAGATGGAGATGTTTTCTATTTGAGGTGAAGAGTTGG